AGTTTTATACAACTACCTTCTGAGGACAAAAGTAGCATTTTCCTAAATCCTTAAGTACCTACAACGAGAAGGACTTGAGTTGTATTTTAGGGTTAAGGCATAGAAGAGCCCTCAGAGAAGTCTCCAGCACACAAAAACTGTCTGTTCTATGTCCTCATGTCTGCCCACCAATAAGCAGTTTTGGGTTCCGAGAGCAACAAGATTTAGCCAAAGGAAGCTACTTTTGCCCTACACAGTATTCCTGAAAAATATGAACATGGGAGGCTTCCTAACAGTTTTTGGTCACAGTTTAGTTAGTGGCTTTCACAGAACTTAAAAGGCAGCCAGAAATGCTGGAGAGTGCATATTTATAGAAACTTAGATCAGAAATGATACCTCTGTGAGTTCTGTATGTAGAACTTTGGGAAGCACTGAATAAATGCACCAAACAATTTTAGAAAGCAGCAGAGCTGAGAAACATTAGCATGTCGTGCACTCACAGACCCAAAATGCTGATGTTAACCGCCGCCATGTAGCGTATATGTGTAAGGCAGGGTTTTAACAAAGTCGTAGCTAGGAGGGTACACAACTATTTGGAAATTTCTACAAAGCATTAGAGCTGTGAAGAGTACTGAAGACTCTTGATGCCATTCACCTGCACCTTCTTAAAAATAGCATCGCCTTCTCCCCTTGCTCACTGCTTTAATGACTTCTCCTGGTATTAGTCAGGAGGAAGCTTTGTACACTCATGTCCCAAGACAGAATTCAGAAGAACAGCAACTTGATCACCACGTTCTGTCCAAGGTACCTACTTCTGAATAGAGGGGTGGAGGCAGAAAACGGAACTCCTGGATGTATGCAAACAATGGTCCTGGAAGTGCTCTCTCAAAGTCATCACAAGCACCTATGGGTGCAAGACTGGACTGTCTTTGTTCCTCCGTGACCACTTCTGCATAGCTAGGAGGTGCTGCAGGGAAAAGGCACACGCAATTCGAACAACAAGTTCTTATGCATGTCAAAATACATAACAAATATTAAAATTTTTATCATCATAAAAATGCACCAGTAGGCACGTAAATTACTTCAGTGTCCTTTTAAACAGTTCTTCAACATGGAAGGGAGGGTTGGCTGCTTTATTTAGCCAAGAGCAGAACAAGTGCTGCTTATAGTGGATTAATTATCCCCTTACCATTTAAGGCACATTCAGAATACTGAGTTGCTGAACAGGTAGGAATGACAGAACACTGCATTCCTCTGGACATACAAGTTCAAGTCTGGAATTTCTACTCAAGAAACCCCCAACGAAACTAACCATAGATATTTATTAGATACATGAAAATAGAAGGGAGAAGAGCTTCTCCTTTGACAAGAGAGATTCCCATTGAAACGAATTATCTTTTCACAAAGCCTTGGCCACCAAGGCTGGTAAAGTACACCATAAATTCCTACTACAAACAGGTGACAATGCCTGATAACCAAGCATGCAATTGGGATATGAGAGGCAGAATTAATTCTGCACAAGTACATCACCCTGTGCTTTCACTTGTGCCAGCTTTCAAGCAGCTGCATTTCACTGCTCATCCTTGAGAAGGGAAGGCAGGCAGGCAGGGAACTATTCTTTCACAGAGGACAAGGAGGTGGCAAGGAAAAAGTCCACAAGGGACTTCCTGTGGGCTTTACTACAGAAATAGTGATTTGGGTCTGTCTGCACGACAGCAATGAGCAAAGCAGACAAAAAGAAAAACAGGCTAGGAAACTGACTGGGATTTGTATTGTCGAGTTACCTTCCGGTCTTTCAGGCAGCGTGAGACCAAGCCAATTCATGTTCACGCTACACTGGCTGCTCACACTTGATGTTCTGCTACCAAACGGGTGTAGAGGAATGGTACCAATGACCAGTGGTAGGTTAAGGAATAAGTCCATGGCGCCTGGAATATCAACATATACCTAGAAGAATAGGACAAAAAGCAGTGTACAATTAAAATGTAGGTTTGTACAAACACTTAATCATTATCAAACTGAATTCTCTGCCCATGGGACTTTCCACAAAGAAGTTGAAACTCCTTTTTGTTTTAAGGATACTGTCTCATGGAGATAGTAAGGCGCTCAAGTCAAGAGTAGCTCAGGATTCTGAACATGAGACCTCAAATGGAAAAGTCACCTACTCATAACATGCTTGAGCAAGGTGGCAAGGTGAGTCACTAACTGGCTGAAGGGAAGAACGGTCAGGGACTTGTGGTCAATGGGGCAGAGTCCAGCTGGAG